TGAGCCGTCAAATCAGTCTCAAACTGTCGAGCGTTGCCATCACAATCCAGTCTCCCCGCTGATCGCTGCCACCGTCGATCGTTCCCCTTCGAAATCTCAGGCCACTGAGCCAGTCTCCCATTTGAAACCTCTCTCTTCTAGGTCATTTGATTCACACCTTTCTAACTTCTTTTTAGAACCCAATTAGAAGCCACAGTTTGTATATATTTTGATTAAAAAAAATTCTAATATATTTTTGGTCATTAGCGCTTCTTTTTGGCGCCTTTTTTTTCTTCATATCATTCATGACATAAATTGTGCATCGTGAAAAATAAAATATGTTCAACGGCTACCATATTTGTGTCAAAGAAAGTGTAATTTTTAACGGTTGGCTTTTTATACGTCGTGAAATGTTTAATATTTTTAACAACTGGTGTACGCATGTTGTGTATAGTTGATGTATTAACGGCATGCCATATGCACTCCATAGAAAGTTTTATTATTTGCAACTAACATTGCAAGCCGTAAAAAAACCATCGTCTTTAACATTCGTGACCTACACAATAGACACGTTGTTGTTGGGAAATTATTTATGACATGCAAAAAAATAAGTCGTAAAGTGAGAAATCACGGCTTGAATTTACTATATGTCGTTGATGTGAAGCCGTAAAAACTCAGTTTTGTTGTAGTGGTTGTTTCACAAAGACCTAATCAATCGGAAGTTAGTGGCATGAAATTTATATACTAATAGTTGTATTAGTGTTAGAGTATAGTAGTGGTGAGGGTGGTAGTAGTAGTCGTGGGGGCTTGGCTGTCGTAAGAGTAATTTTGATAGTCAAAGCTAAAATAGTTTTGTCAAATTTGTTTTTTAGCTCTCTCTCTCTCTCCTATGGTGATGTGTCATTTTGGCATAATCAAATTTCACATTTCCATTATTCCAGTAAATTTTGCATAATCTATTCTAGATCAATTGGAATTTCTCTCTCATTGATTCATATGAGTATCATATTTTTTGATTTCTTATTTTTTGAAGATGGATAAATTGTAATTATTGGTGTAATGTAACTTCTCTAATTATAATTTATAATATTACACTACAACAAAATGCACTTTTGGCGACCACTTTTGGAAACTAAAAAAAATTTAGTTGCCAAAAGTTGTGGAATTGGCGACTAAAAATAATATTAGTGGGCAAAAGTCAAATACTTAGCTTCTAATTTTTTTTTAGTCAGGAAATATTGATTATTGCCGACTAAAAAAAAATTTAGTCGCTAAAAATATCACAATTGGCAACTAAAAAAAAAATTGATAGCTGTATAGATAGTTTTGGCTACTAAAATTGTTTAGTAGCTGAATAAAAAAAACATATATATATTTTTTATATTTGGCGACCAATAGTTTGGTCGCCAAAAGTATATTTTCAGTGACAAAAGAATATTTTAGTAGTCGTATAGTTAGTTTAGCTACTAAAATTGTTTAGTAGCCGAATGAAAAGAAAAATATTATTTTTTATCTTTTGTGACCAAAAGTTTGGTTGCCAAAAGTATATTTTTAGCGTCAAAAGAATATTTTAGTCGCAAAAACTAAAATATTTGGAGGGTGATTTCAAATTTTTGAGGGATTAAAAAATAATTAGCGACTAAAATATTTAGTCGCGATTTGTTATTAATTATTTATGTATTTTGTTTCCAACCCAAAACAGACATTTACTATTAGTCTTTGGCTACGAGGATGTTAGTCGGCCAATATTCACTTTTGGCGACTAATGGTTTGGTCGCCGTTAACAACATTTGCCACTATTTTCTGACAAATTAGTAGTTTTGTCGCTAAAGGTTGAATGAAATAGAGGGAAATGAATAAATGTTGGCGCCTGTTTAATTTTACACGTCTGGTGCTCTCTCTCACACACAGATTCTGTCAGCATCAAACCTCACCCAACCTCACCTCAGCGAAGACCACCGCTGCTCGCCACCGCCACCGCTGCCGCCGCCACCGCAAATCACGACGACCACTGCTGCATCCTCCCAGGTTCTCTCTTACTCTCGGTCTCTCTCTCTCTCTCTCTCTCTCTCTCTCTCTCTCTCTCGGGTCTGTCGACCTCGGTCTCATAGAAGACCTAAATTTTTGTTTAAAAAATGAAGGGCCTAAATAATTTAATTTTAACCTTTGTTGTATTTTAGTAGTTTAAAAATAAAGTTTTACCGAAATAATTATAAAAAAATTGATGTGGTGAATTATTTTGAAGTAATACATATATCCTTATCAATCTATCTCTTCTTCCCCTTTCCCCCTCTCTGCAACTCCCTTACTACCAAGTGAAACCCTCTTCCCAAACCCCTCTGCAAAATCCCCTATGACCCCCTTTCGGCTGGATTAATTAATGAAATCAAGAATATATATATATATATATATATGCAACTTTCAGTGGGTTGCAAGAGAGATCTATCATTCATTCATGCCTCATGTGCCAATGTTTGTGAAAAAAAGTTGGTCTGTTTTCCTGTGTTGGTGATCAAACTAATCTTTTTGATTTATGCTCACCAAGTGTATGTAAAAATGTTATAGAGAGGTTTTCAGGACTGGTTTGTTGGTTTAATACCCAAACGTTTAAAAATGTGTTTGAAAGTTTAAGAACCAATTACCCCTCGCTATTGCAGCAGTTGACAGTATCATATCATAATCCATAGTTGTATCTATTTTCATGTCAGAACATAATTGTCTGATTACTACATGGCCCGTCTTCACATATGGGGAAGAATGAGTACAACATAGCCCTTTTCAACCATGTACAATTGTATGACCAGCAAACGAAGTAACTATGGATCCCAGGTTTGTCTCTTGAAATTTATCTTAGCATATTGATCTATCGAATAGCTTATAGACAATTAGCCACCTGCCAGATAGTGACATCTTTGCTCTCTTTTTCAAGACTTTTTAAGAAAATTTAATTTTGATGTAGGACTAAGTCTATGTCAAGAGTTTGATAATTTATTGTGAGACATGGCAATAAAAATGTTGTTCTTGTTCTCTATTAATGAAAATGTTGACTTTGGAGTCCAACAACATGTTTTACTGTTCATGTTCTAATTGTATGGAATGCAGGTTATAAAGGAGGAATATAAGGAGGATTGTAGAATTCCTGAATGTGTTAAGTGAACATTTCCACTCATTATAGAAAGGAAATTTATTTGCTTCGTAGATGATGCTTTTTAGAGGAATCATTGGCTAAAGATTTAAACAAAGTGAAGTTTCAAAAGCCGGTTTGGGCATTGTGTTGCTTAAAAATAAATTATGTGCTTCTTGTAAATAAAAATAGAAAGAAAAAATAATCTTGAGCTTTAGTTAAATAGAAAGAAAAAATAATATTGAGCTTCAATTAAATAATTTTTGTTTTTACTTGTATAAAGATGTAGTTATTTCTGTTGATAATGAAGAAACAACTTTGTGGATTCTATTTCAGTTGGCCTTTTGGTTTCTTTGTTTGAACTACCATACTCGGTACTGGAACTGGATTGTTCTGGTCTGTTTATGATTTACCTTTGCTCAATGATAATACTTATTTCTCACATAAAAACCACATTAAAATTAAGTCTACCAAACACATTAAAACTAACTCTATCGAACGTTTTAACCACTAAAATTCTCATGTAAGCCTCTTAAAGTCCTAATAAAATGAAAATTTAGCAATAGTATTTCTGTGGGTCCTAATGATTATTAATAAATTAAAATATATTAATCAATATTGATTTCTTGCAAGTCCCATATCATCTTGGCTGCATTGCATAATGTAGATGTTAAGTAAGGCTCAAGTAAAATGAAAACTTAACTTCACAATGTCCCAAGTATGCTTCATGTATTTTCCAATTTGACATTATTCTTTCTATCGCGTCTTTGCAAAAATAGTTATGATATACTTGATGAGTTTAAAAAAAATGTAACAAATGCAACTAAACTATACTTGATGAGTTTGGTTGTTTCATTTTGATGAGAATAATCTATTTAGTTCGTGTTTGGATAATTTTAAAAGTTGATGTTGGGTATCACTTTCTATTTTTTTGATGTATTTTTATGACATCACAAAGACTTGTTCAATGCATAGTAGTTATTTTATATATTTTTTAATTTCTCTCAAATGTTGATTTGCAAGTTGTAGATCCGGATTTATTTTTGTTTCTTGATTTCTTAGATGAGGTGATGGGTTAGCCCTTGATTTTTTGGTTTCCCCTATCTGGATACAACATGCTTGGGACACGTTTGAAATTATACTTCTACCAGTTTATTATATGCCATACAAATAGCTTACTCGATAATCGTCAACTACCCTTCTATTCAACCTCCCATTCCAATGAGAGGTAGGGTAAATATCTTGGTTATAGGTTGGGAATATGTGAAAGGTAGGTAAGGCATTTGAATAGAAGGAAGGGACTATTTTTAAAGGTGGTGAGATTAGATTGTTGGTTTAGGAGTGGTAAAATGCATGAAGAGAAGAAGAGAGGGGAGGGGTGTTCCTTGATATTAAGTGCCAAAGGTGAATTTGTCAGAAGTTCCTTGCATTAAATGTTAAGAAATTTCAAAGTGTGTTAAATCTAAATTAATTTCACTCATTGAATCTTATAGTATAGAAGTGAATTAATGGTAAAATTAAATCCAAATACGCAAGTAACAGAGTGTGCAATCATGTGGTCAATTATTTTATTGCTTATAAACAGTAAAATATATACTTATTATTTGCACTTATGTTCCTCTTTTAGTTATAGTGAATGGCTCTGAATTGTTATTATTGAGGTACTTGTTAAAAACTCTTTAGATTTAGTTATGATATTTCACGCCATGCAGTCTGATTTTTTATTTCATTTCAACACCCAGAAGTTGGAGGACCTCGTCTTGTTGGTGGTTGTGAACTGTCTAACAGATACATTGAGTATGTTCTCTTGTCCTCTAGTCATATCCTATATATTTATTCTGCAATCTTCCATACTCTTATGTAAATATATGTTTTAAGATAATGGATTCATGCAGAACATTGTCATTGCTGCTAATAATACAAAATTTGCACATGCACTTGTCCCTCATTTGACTGACAAATGAAAATTGGGAGACTATCATAGTCTTTGATACTTCTCATCTTTTCCTTCAAATATTATTTAATTGATAAATGAAAATTGGAAAACTCCCTTACTTTCTTTGAAACTTGGATGAATTTTTAATCTTATTTGCCTCTCCAATTTCTGTCTGGCATTGCACAATGGAAGCTTAAATGTAATCTCACTTTTGTAATCACGATCGTACTCATGAAAAGTGGTGTAATCTCACTTCTGAATCAGATTCCACATGCATTAACTTCTCATTTGGCACTCAATCAGCCCACTAGGAATGTTTATGGCTTTACCATAGTTACAGCCGAATATGCCCTCAACTTAGTCGAAAAAGGGCTTTTTGGAGGAGAAAATTCAAAACAGCCCCCGAACCATCATGTGGCTCTCACAAACAACTTTTCCATGACAAATAGGACTTGTGACAATTGACGGAATGTAATTCGGACCAATAGGTTGGGAGTTAGAGCCGAATACGCCCTAAACTTAGTCGAAAAAAGGCTTTCCGGGGGAGAAAATTCAAAACAGCCCCCGAACCATCATGTGGCTCTCACGGCCAACTTCCCCATGACAAATAGGACTTGTGCCAACTGACGGAATGTAATTCGGACCAATAGGTTGGGAGTTAGAGCCGAATACGCCCTAAACTTAGTCGAAAAAGGGCTTTCCGGGGGCAAAAATTCAAAACAACCCCTGAACCACCGTGTGACTCTCACAGAAAGCTTCCCCATGACAAATAGGACTTGTGACAATTGATGGAATGTAATTCGGACCTGTAGATTGGGAGTTAAAGTCGAAAATGCCTTAAGCCTAACCGAAAAGGGCGTTAAGGGAGTGAAAAAGCGAAACAGGTCCGGAACCACCGTACGGATGTCATGGCCACCTTCCACGTGATAAATAGAACCTATGACAATAGACAAATGTAATTAGCACACATACTTTGAGAGTTAGAGCCAAAAATGCCTTAAACTTAACTGAAAAAGGGCGTTAAGGGGGCGAAAATGCGAATCAGCCCCTGAACCACCGTATGGATGTCACGACCACCTTTCCCGTGACAAATAGGACCTGTGACAATAAATGGAATGTAATTAGCACGTGTAGGTTGGGAGTTAGAGCCAAAAATGACTTAAGCTTAAACGAAAAAGGGCGTTAAGGGGGCGAAAATGCGAATCAGCCCCCGAACCACCGTACAGATGTCACGACCACCTTCCCCGTGATAAATAGGACCTGTGAAAACAGATAGAATGTAATTAGCACATGTAGGTTGGGAGTTAGAGCCAAAAACGCCTTAAACTTAACCCAAAAAGGGCGTTATGGGAGCGAAAAAGTGAAACAGCCCCCGAAACCACCGTACAGATGTCACGGCCACCTTCCTCGTGACAAATAGGACCTGTGACAATAGGCAGAATATAATTAGCATATGTAGGTTAGGAGTTAAAGCCAAAAATACCTTAAACTTAATCGAAAAAAGGCGTTAAGGGGGCGAAAATACGAATCAGTCCCCGAATCACTGTATGGTTGTCACGACCACCTTCCCCGTGACAAATAGGACATGTGACAATAGACGGAATATAATTAGCACGTGTAGGATGGGAGTTAGAGCCAAAAACGCCTTAAACTTAACCGAAAAAGGACGTTATGGGAGCGAAAAAGCGAAATAGTCCTAGAACTATCGTACGGATGTCACGGCCACCTTTCCCGTGACAAATAGGACCTGTGACAATAGACGGAATGTAATTAGCACGTGCAGGTTGGGAGTTAGAGCAAAAAATGCCTTAAACTTAATCGAAAAAGGGCATTAAGGGGGCGAAAATGCAAATCAGCCCCCGAACCATTGTACGAATGTCACGACCACCTTTCCCATGATAAATAAGACCTGTGACAACAGAAGGAATGTAATTAGCACATGTAGGTTAGGAGTTAGAGCAAAAAATGCCTTAAGCTTAACCGAAAAAGGGCGTTAAGGAAACGAAAAAGCGAAACAGCTCTAGAACCACCGTACGGGTGTCATGGCCACCTTCCCCATCACAAATAGGACCTGTGACAACAGACATTATGTAATTAGCACGTGTAGGTTGGGAGTTAGAGCCGAAAACGCCTTAAACTTAACCGAAAAATGGCGTTAAGGGGGCGAAAATGCGAATCAGCCCCCGATCCACCGTATGAATGTCATAGCCACCTTCTCTATGATAAATAGGACATATGACAATAGACAGAATGTAATTAGCACGTGTTGGTTGGGAGTTAGAGTAGAAAACGCCTTAAACTTAATCGAAAAAGGGCGTTAAGGGGGCGAAAATGCAAAACAACTTCCAAACCAGCATACAAATGTCACGACCACCTTCTCCGTGGTAAATAGGACCTGTGACAGTAGATGGAATGTAATTAGCACGTTTAGGTTGGGAGTTAGAGCCGAAAACCCCTTAAACTTAATCGAAAAAGGGCATTAAGGGGACGAAAATGCGAAACTGCTTCCGAACCAGCATACAGATGTCACGACCACCTTCCTCGTGGCAAATAGGACCTGTGACAATAGACGAAATGTAATTGGTACGTTTTGGTTGGGAGTTAGAGCCAAAAACGCCTTAAACTTAACCGAAAGAGGGCGTTGAGGGGGCAAAAATGCGAATCAGCCCCCGAACCACCGTACGGATGTCATGGCCCCCTTCACCGTGACAAATAGGACCTGTGACAATAGACGGAATGTAATTAGCACGTGTAGGTTGGGAGTTAGAGCCAAAAACGCCTTAAACTTAACCGAAAAAGGGCGTTAAGAGGGCGAAAATGCGAAACAACTTCCGAACCAACATACAGATGTCACGGCCACCTTCCCCGTAGCAAATAGGACCTATGACAATAGAAGGAATGTAATTAGCACGTTTAGGTTGGGAGTTAGAGCCAAAAACATCCTAAACTTAACCGAAAAAGGACGTTAAGGGGGCGAAAATGCAAAACAGCTTCCGAACCAGCATACAGATGTCATGGCCACCTTCTCCATGGCAAATAGGACCTATGACAGCAGACTGCATTTAATTAGCACGTTTAGGTTTGGAGTTAGAGGTGAAAACTCTTTAAAGTTAACCAAAAAGGGGAGTTAAGGGGGCAAAAATGCGAATCCACCCCCGAACCACTGTACGAATGTCACGGCCACCTTTTCCGTGAAAAATAGGACCTATGACAACAGACGGAATGTAATTAGCACGTTTAGGTTGGGAGTTAGAGCCAAAAACACCTTAAATTTAACCGAAAAAGGGCATTAAGGGGGCGAAAATGCGAAACAACTTCCGAACCAGCATACAGATGTCACGGCCACCTTTCTCGTGGCAAATGGGACCTGTGACAGCAGATGGCACGTAATTAGCACGTTTAGGTTGGGAGTTAGAGCTGAAAACTCCTTAAAGTTAACCGAAAATGGGAGTTAAGGGGGCCCTGAACCACCGTATGGATGTCATGGCCGCCTTTCTTGTGACAAATAAGACCTGTGACAACAGACGGAATGTACTTAGCACATGTAGGTTGAGAGTTCGACACCTTAAACTTAACCAAAAAATGGCGTTATGGGAGCGAAAAAGCGAAACAGCCCCAGAACCACCGTACAAATGTCACAGCCACCTTCCCCGTGACAAATAGGACCTATGATAATAGACGGAATGTAATTAGCACGTGTAGGTTGGGAGTTAGAGCCAAAAATGCCTTAAGCTTAACCGAAAAAGGGCGTTAAGGGAGCGAAAAAGCAAAACAACCCCGGAACCACCGTACGGATGTCACGGCCACCTTCCCCATCACAAATAAGACTTGCAACAACAGATAGAATGTAATTAGCACGTTTAGGTTGGGAGTTAAAGCCGAAAATGTCTTAAACTTAACCGAAATAGGGCGTTAAGGGGGTGAAAATGTGAATCAGCCCCCGAACCACCGTACGGATATCACGGCCACCTTCCCCGTCATAAATAGGACCTGTGACAATAGACAGAATGTAATTAGCACGCGTAGGTTGGGAGTTAGAGCAAAAAATTCCTTAAGCTTAACTGAAAAAGGGCGTTAATTGAGCGAAAAAGCAAAACAGCCCCGGAACCACCGTACAGATGTCACGGCCACCTTCCCTGTCACAAATAGGACCTATGACAATAGACGAAATGTAATTAGCACGTTTAGGTTGGGAGTTAGAGCCGAAAACGCCTTAAACTTAACCAAAAGAGGGCGTTAAGGGGGTGAAAATGCGAATCAGCCCCCGAACCACTGTACGGATATCACGGCCACCTTTCCCATCACAAATAGGACCTGTGACAACAGACAAAATGTAATTAGAACGTGTAGGTTTGGAGTTAGAACCAAAAACGACTTAAACTTAACCGAAAAAGGGCATTAAGGGAGCAAAAAATCGAAACAGCCCCGGAACCACCGTAGGGATGTCATGGCCAGCTTCCCCGTGACATATAGGACTTGTGACAATAGATGGAATGTCATTAGCACATGTGGTTTGGGAGTTAGAGCCGGAAACAACTTAAACTTATTTGAAAAATGGAGAGTTTGACATCCAATAAATGTTCAACATTTTCATTATAAATGATGCCATTGTTTCTTCGTGCATGGTGGTCATTTGAGTGGTAAACGTATTAAGAAAGCATGATATGGTTATGGAGATAACCCCGTAGATTACTCAATTATTTTACTTTGATTAGAAAAATGAGAATGAAAAAGAGTTAAAATAAATTTACCACCTAAACATTCTACTCATAAAAATTTATTTTATGAAGAAGTATGCTCCTAAAAATTGTATTATTTGTAAATTGAAATCAAGTTTGAAATAAATCTTTCATGATACATACATATGATTGTATTTCGAAAAAATGTTTTTATAGATTGTTCTACCTTAAATGCATGTCATTACAACATTTTTCCTATGTTTTTCTAAATTGATATTTTGTTATGGATGCAATTGTTTTTTTATTTTTTGTAGATGGCTTTTGGCGTGAACTTGTGGATAGTCTACATTTTTGTTTATGGAGGACACTTGACACTTTTGTATAATCCTGCTAACTATGTCTTCCTCTGCTTTTGCGAAAGTATTTTTTTTATACGGACGACTTTGATTTTTGTATGATTTTATATTTTGTATAAAATTATTATTTTAGTTTGGACAATAGTTGGTTTGTATGGACTTTGACATTTAAAGTTATTCATTTTTTGTATACGGATGCAGATTGTGGAATGATTGATAGTATATGTATTATTTTGTTTACATACGTATTACAAGTTGCATGGAATATAGACAAGTTGTGAAGAAATTATAATTTTGTGATAAAACATAAGATCATGTTTTTGGTGACTAAATAATTAGTAGCTAAAAAGAAATTGGGAAAATAGTTTGGCCGACTAAAAGTTTTGTAGCCAAAAAAAAAAAAATATATACTAATAGTTGTATTAAAAAAAAAAATCAAACATTTGGCGATCAAGAGTTTTGTAGCAAAAAAAAATCAAACATTTGGCGACTAAAATATTTTGTAACTAAAAACAAAAGTTAAAGAATAGAAAAACTTTTGTCTACTAAAAATTTAGTAGCCAAAAACATAACATTTTTGCCGACTAAAATATTAGTAGCCAAAACACAAACTATTTGTCGACTAAAATTTTAGTAGCAAAAAACATAACACTTTAGGTGACTAAACCTTTAGTAGCAAAAAACATAACACTTTTGCCGACTAAAATATTAGTAGCCAAAACACAAATTATTTGCCGACTAAAATTTTAGTAGCAAAAAACATAACACTTTAGGCCACTAAACCTTTAGTAGCAGAAAATGTGCTATTTAATTTTATTTCCAACCTTTTGACGACTAAAAATTTAGTTGGCAATTGAATACATTTGGCTACTAAAATAATTTTAGTTGCCAATTACCTTTCCCGACAATTCTTCAGCGACTAATGCTGCGACCAAATAATTTAGTTGCTAAAAGCCATTGGCGACTAAAATTTGACTATTGGCAACAAAAAATTTAGTCGCCAAAAGTGAAAATTCTTGTAGTGTTATGGAGTTTTGTAATTATTATAGTTTTTTGTATTTTTAGAATATCTGATTGTGAGTTTTGATATGTGGAAGTTGTAAGGAAAACCAGTAGAATTCTATACAAAAAAATGTAATATGATAAGAAATGATTTTACCAAACTTTGAGCCAAATTTGGTAAAGAGTTTAGATTTGCCAGTTTTTGGCAATGGATTTACCTCACTATTGGAGATGACTTTTTTTGAAGTCTAACTATTTTTTAGTTTTGGCAAACTTTTGGCTTAACCATTGAAAATGCTCTAAGATCGAGGTGTGATGGTAGAGATAACAGTGGCTGTAGTAGTGTAGCATTGGTAAAACTTTAGTCTGAAAGTCATTTAAAAATTAAAAATATTTTATGTCCCAATGGACTTGTTTTTTGTTTACTCTTATTTTTCATTTTTTACTAAACAGAGCATAAATATTAAATTATCATCTCATTATGGGTAAGTTTGTAAATCTTAAATTGTGAGTTTTAATATTTTTTTGCAATCTATAGTTTGTTTAATGAGATTCTTAATTTTTCGCATTCAAAGGTGAATAATTACGCAAAGATCAACAAAATTTAATGCGACAACAAGTGAAAAACAATTTTAATAAATCCAAGGAAGAAAATGATTTACAAACAAAATTTTCATACAAAAAGTCTCAGAAGAATGATATCAAACTGGCATTTTGAAAATTATAAGTCACTTTAATGGGCATTTTGATTTAAATTCATAGTGCCATTTTGAAAATTATAAGTTACTTTAACGAGCATTTTGATTTAAAATGAATGAACATAACATATCATTCAGTATGACTTTTGTGTACATTTTTTATTTGTATATCATCACACATGCAATAATACAACTGTGGATGGCACTCCAAACTTTGTGCAATGCATGACAATGCGAAAAAGCACATAATGGAAATCATAATATGAGGGAAAATTAGACATACTTATCAATTGGAAGTCAGACACAGCCAACTCCCCCTTTGGAAAACTTGAATTGCATCAGTGCCACTGTGTCAAAACTAGTTTGCAGAGTGTCAGATCTCAAAAAAAAAAAATGAAGGCATGCACAACTAAAGACACCCCAAGCATGCAAGTTATTCTATAGTATTTTAATTTAAAATACAACCAAAAAAGATACAAGAAAGATATAAATCATAGTACCTGGAACTGTGTTAGTTACTATGTTACACCAGAGCTATGTTTGAGCTTCTTTAGAGTCTAGCTGACACCACTTTGATGAATTACAATCCAGAAATGATATCAATCAAACCACAAGCTTGTTATAAGTCTCTGAGCTCCTCCGAACGGGTGCCACTACTGTCTGAATTAAGTCTATCATTCTCAAGATTAGGTCTTCAAATGATGGCCGGTGTCCTGGATTGCTGCATTTTATTGAACAAACAACATGTTATTGATTGTGAGATGACAAGTAAATTAAGAGGAAAAAAAAATAGTAGAACAAAGCACCGCACCTTTGCCAACGAAAATTAAAAAAAGATTCTGAATAGAAAATTAAAAATTTTATTGCCAATTTGGTTGCACCTATTACATTACTCCATTTTGAATTAACTAATTCAAAACTGGTGAAATCTTTTTTTTTTTTTTTTTTTTTTTTTTGGGGATCAAAGTGAAATCTTAGTTTGAATTTTGTTGTTGCAAATACAAGAGTTTTTTTTCTACAATTTTCTTTTCCATGTCAAATTAATTTTTTATTTTTAAATCTATGATAAACCAAATAAATAGAACTAATCTACAACAAATGATGTCATGGTTAGAAATTCATAATGTGTCACACATCACTCCACTTAATACTTGACCCACTCCAATTGCGACGGTTCTAAACCTGCTCTGATACCATGTTAAAATATATTGATGTATATTATTGATTGATGTATTCTTGTTGTGTCTATTACAAATGGTTCCTTATATAGATGTAGGTGTAGTGGAGTAGGTGGTGGTAGGTGAGGAGTAGGTGAGTGTAGTAGGTGAGTATGTGGTAGGTGATGGTAAGTGTGTGGTAGGTGATGGTAAATTTTAACACCAACAGTCGCGGATTACAGATGCAACTTTGGGATCCATGTTTTCTGGTAGGTCTAACCTGCGGTCCATGAAGCCTACAATTCCAACAACCTTTCAAGATAAAGAACAATGGTTTTAGTGAGCATAGGGCCTTGAAAATTTTTAATGTCTAAGAGAACTTCAATTCAATGGAGAGAGAGAGAGAGAGAGACCTGTAAGGAATTCAGGTTGTTCTATGGAATAGATTCAGTCATTAGTTCCCATAGGATGACACCGAAACTAAACACATCAGACCTGTTACAGATAACAGAACAATTGTGTTATGAAGACCTTTTTCATTGCTTGCTGCAATTATAATCAATCAAAGGAAATAAATAATTATGATTTTTTGTATTTTTTTTTTAAATTTTTGTTTTATCCAAATAGTTACAATCAAATGACTAGAGAAATTAAGACTGTTCAACGGATGAAACCTCGAGAATTGCCCAAAGCATCCAACCATTTGACTTTGGATTGTCAAACCCTATCCTAAGGTAGCCCCAATATTTGAGAAGGGTAAAAAAAATGTCAATTATTTAGAAGCTTGGAGTATAATGGTCCATCAAGCAAATTGCAGTTTCAACATAGCATTCATCCAAGCTCAGAGTTGGGGAGATTACTTTTCATCTGAAGGTTCGTTTCTAAGGACTTCAGGTGCCATCCACTGAGGCTGCATTAAAAATAACACGTCTATTGACGTAGATGAATCGTAACAATTAATAATAAGCATCAACAGTTATAATCATTATTATTTTATTTATTTTATATATATATATATATATATATATTTTTGGCAAAATCTATTTGGATAAAAGGAATGATCTTTACAGTTCCTCTGCCTGATGTTGCTGTTAAGAAGGTTGCATGCTTCAATTTCGACAGGCCAAAGTCTCCAACCTGACAAAGATAAAATAACAAATGATTTATCGAACTGGCTGGGAATTTAACCATCTAAAAGGTAAAATCATCTCAAGGCATAACACAACACACTGTCACGGCCTTGGTTATGTGACAACACACTACCTTGACAGTCCAGTTTTTATCAAGAAGCAGATTGGAAGACTTCAAGTCTCTATGTACTATTGGCGGATTTCTGTGATGCAAATAATTCATACCCCTTGCCTGCAAGCAAAGAAAATCCAAGAAACTTCTGATGATGACTTATAGGCTAAAAATACAGAGACACACATGAGGTGCACACACAGATATATATATATATATAGAGAGAGAGAGAGAGAGAGAGAGAGACGCACAACATCAAGGGCCATTCTCAAACGGCGTCTGATGTCGAATGATTGATTGTTCTTGTGAAGTGTTTTGAAGAGGCTTCCCCTGATAAAAGATAGAAACCAATATAAGTGAAGCAGCTGGTTTACTATATCTCTACGAAAAGGAAACACATGGGGGATTAACTTTTCCATTTAGCATTTTACCTGCAAAATGAGGTCAGAAACAGAATAACCGGACCTATTATAATGCATGAAGGTTTGAAATTGTTAACTATTTAATGTAAAAACAATATGCAACTTTTATATCAATTTGAGCAGTCCTTGGTAAGAAAAGTTGTATCACCTGGGCAAGAACTCTGAGACTATTGCAAGCTTTTCCTGTTCCCCTGAATACACAGCACCCATAAACAACAATACATTTGGATGTCTCAGCCTTCTCATTATATCAATCTGAAAAGGATATGTATTTTGTGCATTGGGATTAGGCAGTTCCTTCCCAACAATCTAAACCATACACAATTAGCAGTTTGTTCAGAGCATCAAATACCTCCTTTTTGTAGTCAAGTAAAGTTCCCTCACCATACTCATTTCCAAAATAAACCCCTACAGCAACATCCTGACGAATACAAGCAACTAATCTTAATGGCTCCAAGAACAAATTCTTATTATTGTTCAAATAAGAACATCAAGAAAGTGTCAAGAATTTACCGATCCATTCCAAATTCCATGATATACAGAGGCAAATGAACCTGAAATGCAAAATAAATAAACCTTTAACATGAGTTCAAAAGCTCCATACCTCTACCACACTGGAGATGATCATTTTTTTTTTGATAAATCACACTGGAGATGATCATATGTTGCTACATCAACTACAACAATAGTATCATATATAAGGAATGATGTTTGTTTTGAGATTTTCCTCAAAATTTGTTGGGAAAATGGTTTAATATAGGCATATTTTTTAGCTCAATTTTAAGTGGGCCCCAAACGTTGTTTGGGGTGGGTTCGACGAGGTGAAGTGTTCCTTGCCGCGTGGCAAGTCACACGGTGAATACGGAATGTCAAAACCATTTATGAGTGAATGGGGAGTTGACATCGTTTTCGGGTTTAACATTAATTTTTTAAATAAAATTCTTTTGAATTTTTTCAATAAGAAATTATTGTGGGAATTTAATTTAAATCTAAATTCAAATTTTTGGTTTCCTAAAGTTTGTCAAATAGATTAATATTTATATTCCTAACAGATTTTATTAAATCTATTATACTATTGTTTATTTAATTAAACTAGTCTAATAGTTTAATAATATTTATATTCAAATAGTTTGGATTTTAGTACACCTACGGCTACTTCTTCCAAATTGTTTGAATTATAGCCGTTCCTATACAACGGCAGAATCTGTTTGATTTTTGAATCAAACCTGTTCACTTTTGTTTTGCACCTGTTCGGGTTGCACATGTGTGCCTATAAATACCAAATTCCAGCATGTGTTTTGGATCAGGAAAAATTTCAGTCTGAAAGTACCCTTTTTTCTTGTTGTCCAGATTATATCTGTTTGTATTCTTTTTATTCTTCATTTTAGATTTAGAATAAATTAAAGAGAGTTAGAACACAGGTTTGGTTCGCCAAACAAATTGTTTGGAGTGCTACTACAATTTGTGAAGATCATTGTATCCTGGGAGATAGACGCCATTCAACCGTAAGCACCATAGCGGAGCAAATCTGTCTTAAAGACAGAGTGTCACACACTCGACTTGGTCTTAATTTTATTTCGGTTCGATAAATAAATCTGGTATGTTATTTATTTATTTTGTTTGAATTTATTTCAATTTATTTTATATACATAGAAGATTGTTCCAACAATCTTAAGACAGATTCGAATTATTCTGTTTACAGAATTTTTCGTTTGTTTCCTTTTTTTTTCATTCTTCGTAAATAATTTCGGAAGAAAATTATTTTCTGTGTACAAAATAATATTTTGGTTAGAAAAACAAATAGTGATTATATGCTATTTGACAGATAGTAGTAATATACTGTCTATTTTCTTTGACAACTAGTAGCACGATACTGGTGTCATTAACAATTCAGAATATATTTTTGTGGAAATTTGTCAGGAAATTAATTTTGGTTTTTTAGAAATTATTTTCTGAGTTTTCATTAATTAAAATTCTGTTTTCAGTATTTTAATTATTGAAGTGTTACTGGAATTTATTTTTCTGTGTGGAATTATTTTGGTTAAATAAAATTTTGTTTTATTTCCAAATTAATTGAAAAATAAAAGTTATATTTTTTTATTTCTTTTATTTTACAGAATTTAATTTTCTGTGTAGAATTAATTTGTTTAAATAAAACTTTATTTTATTTTCAAATTAATTGGAAATAAAAGTTACATTCTTATTTCTTTTATTTTTTATAGAATTTAATTATGTGAATTTGGTTTAATTTTCTGTGTAGTGTAAATTCTAATTATAATTTTGTTTTATAAATTAGAATTGATGGCTACTGAAACTAATTACTACTGTGGTGGCTGCAATTGCACCAACCCCCTCTCCTGTGATGACAGTACCAATAAATCATGGAGACAAGCCAGAGAAGTTCTCAGGAACTGACTTTAAAAGATGGCAACAGAAAAATATTGTTCAATCTTACAACTCTGAACCTGCCTTGTTTTCTCCGTGAAGATGCTCCTATCCTGAAAGAGGATGAAACCGACCGGCAAGTGATTGCTGCGGTTGATGCTTGGAAACATGTTGATTTCCTTTGCCGGAACTACGTCTTGAACGGACTTGACAACACATTATACAACGTCTACAGTCGAATCAAGACAGCAAAGGAACTTTGCGAATCGTTGGAGAAAAAGTACAAAACAGAAGATGCCGGCTCAAAGAAATTTGTGGTTGGTAGATTCTTAGATTTTGTAATGGTTGATTCAAAAACTGTGATCAACCAAGCTCAAGATTTCCAACTCATTCTGCATGACATTCATGCAGAAGGCATGTCTCTCAGTGAATCCTTTCAAGTTGCAGCCTGAATTGAAAAATTACCAAAAGGTTGGAAGGAATTCAAGAACTACCTCAAACACAAGCGCAAAGAAATTTCTATGGACAAGTTAATTGTGCGTTTGAGGATTGAGGAGGACAACTGCAATTCTAAAAAGTGGGTTGGTAAGCTTCCT